AAGATTATATATTATTCCAATCGATTAAGACAAGTCTTTCGTATATACGTCAATTTTTTTGTCTACATGATTCAATTTAAAGAATCTATCACATTAAATGCTATATTATATTATAAATTTTGTTAGTATCTTTATTCACTTAATAATGTTTCGATGAAAATTACTATTTCCTTACATTCGTTTGACATTCACTCGTCATTATCTACTTTCTGTTTCCTTTATTTTTGTCATGTTTGTTATCAATATAATCCAATCAATTTACATATTAATTTATTTTAACTTTGTCAAAAATATTGATATGAATTTGATATATTCAAATCTTATTTTCAAAAGTATACGAGTTTTTAATTTTTTTATTTCCTCAAATTACATTCTTTAATTACCTTAAATGCATAGATTATTTTAATATGTCCTCCCAATCTTATATATTTATTTGAACTTATGAATATCAAGTTTTAATTAGTTGACTTGATAAATTATATAAATACGCAAAAAAAAAATATCATTGATTATAATTAGAAGTGTTTTAATCTTGCCTTCATGATCCGAATAGCATAATGTGTTTTGGTATAAATACAAACCGCGTGAGTTTATTTGATAAGCTAATTTTCCAAAATAAGCGTGTGACATCATCAAACAACAATCAATACCCTTTGTATTACTCTCCTCATAAAAGTGAAAGAAATGTTAAATATAAAATAGCGTGTTATATTCATATTATAAGAAAGGAAATTAGATTAATTGAGATTTTAAATATCATAACTTTTTTGATAAATGATCTTTTATTATAAAATTATTGTAGGCATAATAAATAATGAATTGCAATACAATGCTACGTCCGAGAAATTTAATTTGCATATAACCAAAAAGGACAATAGGCATGATTTATATTATACTAATCTATATAAAATATTTTAAAAAAATTATTGCCTTAACGAATGACATGTGTCAAGATGCTTATGTCAAACTTTGAAATCGCTTAGTTGAACTAAATTGCTTATGCATTTTAGTCAATTGATTATTTGTCAGCTTTTATTTTTGTATAATTAATTGTTTCCTACTTAACTTTTGTATATACATATTCTTTTATGAATTTTATATTTTATAAATTCAAAAAATATTATCTTATTTAATTTAATGTTCCGAGAAACGTAATTTTTAATGTCTTTTTTTTGTATTATTTTTTAATTTAAATATTTACGTTAATAAAATTTTAATTGAGACATACATTTGAATCATTTATGTCCAATTATATAACAATATATATTTTTTAGGTAAAATTTATACTCCTCAGTCCTCCCATTCAGAGTTAATGCTTTTAGGAAAATCGATTTGCTATTGCCGCCCAATTGAAATTTTTGAATTTTGAAATCTTATATTTTCTACCATTTACATGTACTACATGCACACTTTATGGTAGTCCGTAAGTATTTTGGTTTTTTTAATAATAAAGTATGAGTATGATTATAAGTATTATTTTGAGTACGATTACAAGGATTAGTATCAGTATCAGTATTAGTATCGGTACCGGTATCGGTATCGGTAACGGTATCGGTATCAACATTAGCATTTTTATCATTATCGATCATTAGCATTAGCATTAACATTAGTATCAGTATTAGTATTAGTATTACGATTAGTGTTAGTATCAGTATTCACATTAGTATTAATATTAGTATTAGTATTAGTATTAATATTAGTGACTATAATATGTATCAATATCAATATCACTATTATCGTTATTAATATACTATTAGTATTAGTATTAGTATTAGTATTAGCATTAGTATTAGTATTAGTATTAGTATTAGTATTAGTATTAGTATTAGTATTAGTATTAGTATTAGTATTAGTATTAGTATTGGTATTAGTATTAATATTAGTATAATTAGTATTAGTATTAGTATTAGTATTAGTATTAGTATTAGGATTAATATTAGTAATAATATTAGTATTAGTATTAATATTAGTATTAGTATTAGTATTAGTATCAACATTAGTATTACAAGTTGCATGGACAATTATATATCGTAATGCAGAGAATAGAGTATGGGTAGCATAAAGAAATTTATCAAGTTGGAATCAGGCGAATAATGTTATTAACAATTTTGTCTATAAGGATGGTTTATAAGTGATTATGAAGGTATAGCACAAAATTTTGTGATTTTATAACAAAAAATTTCATCTCTAATGTACATTAGTGCCGCTCCAATGAATTTTTTTAATCTAGGTAATTTTATATAAATTGTATTTATTTTACATTTTTAGGTGATTTATTATTCAGTAATGTGTACGACTGAGAGAATATGAACAATGCAAAATGTGTAGGTTACTCACAAGGTATTAGATGAGTTGTAAACGATTTCAATGCATGTATAAAATATCACTTTGATAACTAAATTTCATGTTAAGGATTCGAGTGCATTGGGCGAGATAGTTTTACGATTTGGGTCAGATGAGGTATTTTATATTTTATCACAAGTATTTATTTTATATTTTATTTTATTATTATTTTTGTTTAAGTTTTGTATTTAAATCAGATGGAGTGGATTTTTTTTTTTGTTTTGGACTATATCATATTATATATCAATTAATTAAAGTTTTTACTATATTATTTTATTTAAATGTATTTTCATTGTTCGTGACCGTAGCTTCGTGTTATATTGTACCAACATTCAGATTAATGTACAAGAGTGGTCCATTCATTCGATTCCCCACTTGGAGTTGGTTGTGGCATTTCGGCGTGGATGGTTTGTACAAGATTGCCATTTTAAATTTATGTAGACTTTTTGGTGATGATATAAAATACGAAATTATTATTTTTTGTTCGGTCGTATTCGACTTAAATCCTCGACCTTTTTTTAGTTCGGTGATTTTTTAGAATAATTTCTTTTGATCTAAAATTTGATCCCGTGCATCGCACGGGTGAGATACTAGTTATTCACACATATTAACAATCTCATTAATTAATTGTTACTTTTGACAGTAAAATTCAAAATTGCCCCTTTCTCTCTCCATACAATGCTAGAAATATTTAAGAGCCATGACAATTAATAGTGAGGGTAAGATTGGAAAGATAAAATCAGTTTCGCATTGTAAATCTAAAATGTCAAATAATTTGAGAAGATAATTTATTACTAAAACATCAATTAAAAGGGTAGGTAAGAATATCAAATTTAAACAATTTAATATTATATCTAATATAAAGAATTAAACAACTATATTTAAAAAATAAAATTGAGAATCAATTTTTATAATATTATAGAAAGTATTTTAGGAAAACAAAACTGAGAAATTAGGTAATATCTTAATGTATTTTCTATTTCACATTGAGATGAGATGTTTTATATTGTTTCAATTTGGTACCAAATTGTAAGAATTTAACATTAAATTCGATATAAGGAATTAAATATCTTAAGTATGTTTAAAAATATTCTGAGAATCAATTTTCATAATATTGTCCAAATTTTTTTAAGAAAAAAAAATGAGAAAAATAGTAAATTTTTATTTTTATTTTTATTTTTTATTGTAGATTGAAATGAGATATTTTACATTGTATAAGTTTGGTACCATATTTTAACAATTTAATATTTTCATGTATTTTCTATTGCAAATTGATATTTTATATTTTATCAAATTGATACCAGATTTTAACAAGTTAATATTACACCTAAAACAAGGAATTGAAAATCTTAATTATGTTTGGAAAAAATGAGAAATCAATTTTTATAATATTGTAGCAAGTATTTTATGAAAAAATATGAGACAAATTGTTAAAATATTTTCATGTATGTTCAATTGCAAATTGGGATGAGATATTTCATATTGTATAACATTGGTACTAAGTTTTAACAATTTATCATTAGATATAACATAAGGAATTAAAAATCTTAACTATGTTTGTAAAAAATGAGAATCAATTTTCATAATATTTTAGCAAGTATTTTAGGAAAAAATCTGACAAAAATGGTAATACTTTTATGTATTTTCTATTGCAGATTGAGATGAAATATTTTATATTTTATGAGTTTGGTACTAGATTTTACCAATTTAATACTCCCTCTATCCCATATTATATGTCCTTTTAGAGAGTTTTTTTTGTCCCAAATTATTTGTCATTTTAGATTTTCAATGCATCATTAATTGCATTATTTTCAATTTTACCCTTTATCACTCTTAATTTGTTAGCTGTAAAATACTTAATGTCAAGGATATATTAGTATTTTCCTATGTTTTTCACTATAATCTATACACATTATTGGTTTTCTTAATATGTGTGTAACAACCCAAAACGTCATTTAAATTGGGACGGAGGGAGTATTATATATAACATAAAGAATTAAAAATCTTAACTATTTTGAAAAAAAATGAGAATCAATTCTCATAATATTTTAGCAAGTATTTTAGGAAAAAAATCTGAGAAATAATGGTAATATTTTTATGTATTTCCTATTGGTGATTGAGATGAGATATTTTATTTTATGAATTTGATACTAGATTTTAACAATTTAATATTAGATGTAATATAAAGAATTAAAAATATCAACTAGGTTTAATTATTTTGAGAATCAATTTTCATAATATGATTGCAAACATTTTACGAAAAAGAATTCGAAAAAATGGTAATATTTTTGTGTATTTTCTATTGCAGATTGAGATGAGACATTTTATATTTTATCAATTTGATAAATTTTCATAATGTTATAGTAAGTATTTTAGGAAAAATATGAGAAAATGATAATACTTTTATATATTTTCTATTGCAGATTGAGATAAAATATTTTATATTGTATTAGTTAAATAATGTCTAAAGTGTTAAAAAAAATAAAAATGAAACTTTGAATAAAGTAATTTCATCATTGTTTTGTCTATTAATCTACGCATAATAACTCACTTTTTCAAAATAATGAAAATCAAATGGAGTATTTTTATTTGCTCGTGTCTGAAAATAAAAATTACAGAAAAAAAAAACACACACACACGCAGTCATTTCACACAATATACACTTGTCAGTAATTAGATTTAGGTGCACACAATAAATTTTCTTTACCAACTATGAATTCTGGAAAAGTCAAAAAAGCTGTAAAAAATGAAAAACCGAATCTTTACCAACTGTATAAAATGCTGACCTGGCAAAAAATCATAAAGAGTATTGCGTCACCACATAGAATTACAACGGAAGGGCATTTACGTCAATTCACGTCGCAACCACACACACAAAACACACACTGTCAGTCAGTCAGTTTCATTTGATTTCACCCATTTACATTTCTCTCTCTTCTTTCTCTCTCTCTCTCTCTTACAGCAATCGGAAAAAATGGCGTCGAGTTCTGTAGCAACAATCCGCCGATTGAATCACAATTCAAATCCCTCCTCCTCCACCGCCACCGCCACCGCCCTTCTCGTTCCGAAAATCGAACCTAAACTCGAACCATTGGATGAACCTTTTCCACCCCCACCCGGCTTCAATTTCCCCACCACCTCCTCCACCGCCGCCGCCGCCGCCACCCCCATCCCCACCACCCCCACCATCCCCGAGGTGCGCTCCGACTACAACCGATTAACAGAGCTTTTTTTCTCCTCGGGCCTCCCAAATTTGGGAGACGTAGGAATCCTACCCGAATCCGACACGAATCCACAGGCTATAGTCACCGTCCCGGAGCCCGAAGAAGCCCAACACTCGAATGGCATCCTCGCACGGCACGTGCCTCGGAGGTACTACAACCGCTCGTCGGAGCTGGTCCGGGTCATGGATCTCCAACCCGATGACCAGCGCTTTTTCCGCGACGAAGCCCGGAGAACCCGGATGCTGTTCGACTCCCTGCGCGTGTACGCAGTCGCGGAGGACGAGAGGCGCAGGGGCACCCTCTCCCCGCACCGGCGGACGAGAGGTGACCTCAAGGCATCCACCTTAATGAGGGAGCGCGGCCTGTGGCTGAATCGCGACAAAAGAGTCGTCGGAGAAATCCCCGGCGTCTCGATCGGAGACGTTTTCTTCTTCAGAATTGAACTCTGCGTGCTCGGCCTCCACGGCCAGGCCCAGGCCGGAATCGACTTTCTCCCTTCCACCCGGAGCTCCAACGGCGATCCAGTCGCCACGAGCGTCATCGTTTCCGGCGGCTACGAAGACGACGAGGATTCAGGTGACGTCATCATATACACAGGCCACGGCGGGCAGGACAGGCACAGCAGGCAAGTGGTGCACCAGAAACTGGAGCAGGGGAATTTAGCAATGGAGAGGAGTATGCATTACCATGTTGAGGTACGAGTAATTCGCGGGTTGAAGTACGAAGGTAGCATCACTGGTAAAGTGTACGTCTACGACGGACTATACCGAGTGACGGAGACTTGGTTCGATGTCGGGAGATCGGGGTTCGGTGTTTTCAAGTTCAAACTCGTTAGGATAGGCAGTCAACCGGAAATGGGAAGCACGACTATGAAGTTTGCTCTGAGTTTAAAAACTCGCCCATTGGAAGCTCGCCCTCGAGGCTATGTCTCGCTCGATATATCCCACAGGAGAGAGAATTTGCCGGTGTTCCTTTTTAACGATATAGATGAGGCCCACGACCCGATTTACTATGAATATTCGACAACAACCATTTTCCCTCAGTATCTATTTAGCTCCGGTAGCAGTGGCAGTGGGTGTGACTGTATAGGCGGGTGTAACGACGATGATTGCTTCTGCGCTAGGAAAAACGGGGGCGAGATCGCTTATGATCTGAACGGGATTCTTGTTAGGGGAAAACCGTTGGTTTTCGAATGTGGGCCCCACTGCCGTTGCCCTCCGACTTGTCGAAACCGTGTGACTCAAAAGGGGATCAAGAATCGGTTCGAAGTGTTTAGGTCAAGGGAGACTGGCTGGGGGGTTAGGACGTTGGACTTGATCCAGGCTGGTTCTTTCATCTGCGAGTACACTGGAATTGTGCTCACCCGTGAGCAAGCGGAGCTGGTTACGATGAACGGCGATAATTTGGTTTACCCTAGTAGGTTTTCAGAGAACTGGAAAGAGTGGGGGGATCTGTCAAAGGTGTCGGCGGAATATTCTTGCCCTACTTATCCGTCGGTCCCGCCTTTGGATTTCGCCATGGATGTTTCGAGGATGAGGAATCTGGCTTGCTATATGAGCCATAGTTCGAACCCGAATGTTTTTGTGCAGCTTGTTTTGTACGATCATAACAATGTGTCTTTCCCTCACCTGATGCTGTTTGCTATGGAGACTATTCCTCCGCTGAGGGAGATCAGCGTTGATTATGGGGTGGCAGACGAGTTGACTGGGAAACTTGCGATTTGCAACTGATTCGGTTTCGTGGAATTCGGCCTGGGGTTTGGACTCGCTCGGTGGCTTTCTTGGGGGGCGTCCTCGCATAAGGTATTTTAAAACTGTTTTCTTTTTTTTCTTGGGATAAATTATGATACTTGTCGGTTTTCATTTTTCTGCGGGTGATGGATTATTGGTTGCCTTTTGTTATGACTCCAGTTTTTCTAGTTGGAATTGTTTGATTTGAGTTTTTATTGGCTGTTTTTGTTTTCTTGGAATGACTTGCTATGAGTGGTAGAGGTACAAATAGTAAGAGACAGGTGTTAGGTATTATCATAGAAACTTCTTTTGAGGTTTGGAGTTTCGGTATTACCCTTAGTTTCAGAAGTTACATCCACCCTCGTATCACTACCAATAATTAGAAAATTAACTCTATTAAAAAAAGAGGACTTTTTCTCCCTCTTCGTTGACAAATCATGTATTTGCTTCGAGGTGTCGACCGTTAACCAAGACCTTTCGAGTACTTTGTTGAATCAAAAGTATGTTTCTCGAAAATTTTATGGCTCGAGGGTTATCTTGGAAAAGAACTCTGATTACCTTAAGTGGGATGAATTCTTATGGTGCTCATTTAATTTAAAAATGAGGAATTAGGCGATGGAAACTTTAGGATATTGGAGGGGTGAGTTTGGAAAGGGTTTTTGCGATTCGGTATTCAGAAATTTCAAATCTTAATTCCGGAATCCCATTTAAATTTATCAAAAGCTGGTTCTTGGGGAACTCAAAATTCCCAAAGTACGGGGACTTACATATGCAAATTGTGTAATGTGTTTATCTAATTTCTTCATCATTGTTGAAAGCTCGGGATGGGTTTTCCCGATTGGGTAAGGAGCACTACCCGAATTCCGTCCAATTTTCTAACATCATAATACAAAAGGTGTTTTTTGCATATATAACATAATTCGGGTAGTAGTAAGGCACCTTACTACTACCGAATTATGTTGTCTTGTGAGTATCATGTGGTGATAATCATCAATACTCACAAGACAAAATTAGCTCCGATGGCATACAATTTGGGCATTTGGTACATATGTTGTGACAAAGGTAGTAATTTTAAAAGTTTCGGGCTTTGTTCTATATGGATAAAAGGGTTTATGCCGGTTAAAGATTTGTCTATGTTGCATCTATATATGTATATGTACATATGCATACATAACTTATTCAAAGCCGACTTAGGTTGAGTTTGGTTGTTCTTAATGGTTCATTTATTATTCACTACGCATGGATCTCTTAATGATTCATTTGTTGATTCATGAGGTGTTGGAACTTTCATGGTTTATACTATGATGTCCATTAATTAATATTAATCGGATTGGGTAATTCTACTCGAGGAGATTAATTTCAATATTACTTACTCAAAACCATGAAGTAAGTTTGAATGGAAATTGCTCTGAAGTAGATGGTTAGCGCGTGCCGTCGTCTACCCCTACCAGTGGGTCGAGATGAGTTTGGACTTGAACTTGGGTTTCCATTTAGTTAAATTATTTGGTCTAAACCAAAACCCGATAATTAATAATTAAGTTGGCCCAAACTAATCCAATTAATTATTCGAAACATACATGTTTTTCGGATTGAGAAATGCATTTGAATGGTTCTTTACCAATCTTTGTGTTTCTATGAACCAACACTCCTAGTCTATAAACACAAATAGAACCTTGCCAACTATGGATTGGTTTTATCGGAAGTTTATATATTACGTTCTTCTCTATCGAAGTTCCGTTCGTTGTTCAAGATCGCTGTGGATTTGATTTTGCGCAAAACCTTGGGAGACTATTGAGAAGAGTGTTGCACCTTCGGCAACCCAAAAAAATGTCTTCAGCGAATTGCTTTAGCATTACTATCTATTTCTTGCGTTTTATCTCAATTTCTTTCGACAAACAAGTAGGTGTTCTGTTCCACGCATGTTGTTATTTACTAACATTAGACACGAAGCACATTAACTCCATTTGGTTGCAACAAGAAGTGCCGGAGCAATGATTTCATCATTGGGTTAAGGGATATACTTTAAAAAGGAATGTGGTAATAGAAATTTATGACAACAACCATCGTTCCGAGTCATAATTCGTAACTTCCTTATTTGGTAAAATATCAACCAAATTCTTAAACATATGGATTCAAAAAAATGTCGTAGTAGAAATTTATGACAACGATTGGGTGAAGGTGAAAAAACGAGGGCTCACATATGTAAATTTTGTAATGTGTTTATCTAATTGTGTCTTTAATTCTTGCCGATATCTCGGGATGGAATTTCCTGATCGGGTAAGGAGCACTACCCGAATTCCGTCATGTTTTCTAACACCATAATACAAGGTCTTTTTCTTTGTATATATAACATAATCCGGGTAGTAGTAAGACACCTTAGTACTACTTGAGTTATGTTGTTTCGTGAGTTGAATTATGTTGTCTTGTGAGTATCATTTGGTGATAATCATCAATACTCACACGATAAAATTTGTTCTTATGGCATACGATTTGAGCTTTGCTCTCTATGAATAAAGGGTTTATGCGGTTGAAGATTTGTCTATGTTGCATCTATATATGTATATGTACATACATAAATTGTTAAACATCCACTTAGGTTGAGTTTGGTTGCTCTTAATGGTTCATTTATTATTCATTAAGCATGGACCTCTTAATGATTCATTTGTTGATTCGTGAGGTTTGGAACTTTCATGGTTTATACCATGATGTCCATTAATGAATAGCGAGTAATATTAATTGGATTTGGTAATTCTACACGAGGAGATTAATTTCATATATTACTTACTCTAAACCATGAAGTAAGTTTGAATTGCCCAAACTAATCTAATTAAGTATCCAAAACATACGTGTTTTTCGAATTTATAGATGCATCGTTTAATAATTCTCTCCCAATCTTTGTGTTTTTTCGTGAACCAACACTCCGAGTCTATAAACACAAATATCACGTTCCTCATTCTCTATCAAAGTTCGGTTCATTGTTCAAGTTCGCTGTGGATTTGATCTTTGTTCAAACTTCAAATATCCAATTGTTGTACCTTGGGAGACTACCGTGAAGAGTTGGTTGCATCCTTGGCATCCTGAAAATATTGTCCTAAGGGAATTGCTTAAGCAAAAACTCAATCAATTTCATGTGTTTTATTCCAATTTCTTTCGACAAACAAATGGGTGTTTCTATTTTACGCATGTTGTTATTTAACAACTTTAAGCATGAAGCACATTAAGTCCATTTGGTTGCAACATATGTAACGGCGGAGCAAAGATTACATCTTTGGGTTGGGGGATATACACTAAAAAAAATGTCATAATAGAAATTTATGACAACAACGATTTTTCCAACTCACAATTCATAACTTCCTTCTATGGTAAAAAAATCAACTAAGTTCTTAAACATATGCATAAAAAGAGAATGTTGTAATAGAAACTTTTGACAACAACGATTGCTCGAAGTTACAATTAGTAACATCCTTCTTTGACAAATATATCAACTAAATTCTTAAATATGTATGTTTTTTTAAAAGCACACAACATTTTTTCATGTCACAAAATGTATTTTTGATCAAATTCATACTTAATATTTCAACTATTTATCTCTCTATACAATATCAACGAATTTGAAAGAAATTTATCTTCAATTTTATTTTGAAGCTTGGTTTTACTTTATTTGTGGATGAAATGCTCGCTCAACTATCGCCAGTGAAGGAGCCAAGATTTTATATGAGAGTGAGCTATAAATATGCGGAGGTTCAAGAACAACGCCCTCGATATTCTTTTTAAGGATTTGTTGGCGAAACATAGCATATAGTAAGTAATATCTATAACATTTACTTGAAATAACACAAATTAAACCTTTTAATGTTTTATTTTAAAAAATATAATCATGAAAAGTAGTTATAAATTACTTGCAATTGACCATGTAAACATTTTTGGCTTTTGAATTTTCATTTTGTGATTTTTTTCCGTGATTGGGTGGGGTAAATGAATAATTGAGTGAGCTAAATAAACAAAATTGGTATTTTAGTGTAAGAAATTGGATCAAGAGTGGGTTGGAGTCCACCCTAATACAAGGGTGTCTCATCCACATCCACTTGTTGTCGCAGTAGATATTGGAAGAGTAAGTACATGATTGATCAATACAAGAATATGTTTATAAATCTCTGTCTTTCTAGATCTCACCACTATTGACATAGATTAGATATTGTGCAACGATTTGTAGTAATCTTTATGTTGAAAGTAACTCAATCTCAAAATGGTGCAATTCCATTCTAGTTGGCATTTACTCATGCATCATAAAGTCATCGTAGTAAAATATTTATGTCATCTTACCTATTTCATACTTTAATTTTTTTAATATATAACTAAGTTGTTAAAAATATAGGTGCACATTGGAAAGACAATAAATTATAAACATCTATATAGTAAAAGTAAATTATGGGGTGCCGTGGCCCCCTGTCTTATTTTGGCTCCGCCATTGGACACATGAATGAGTCCAAAAATTGATTACTCATTGAACACAAAAAAGTGTGCTTAATGGGTTAATTGACATGTTCAATAAACTCAAACTTCCTACACCTATGTCCCGTTATCCACGCGTTCTTCTTAATACGACGATTTGTACAATCATTAAACTTTTGGTATATGATGGAACGCGAGGGAAAATTGAATATACAAAGAAAATGAAGCACATCGAAACAAGTAAAATCCTTAATCAGCTCTCAAATCAAGAAATTCTTTCTTGGAACTTATAAGTTGTTAACAACACTCGCACTTGAAATTGAGCTTTAGAGTCTAAAGGCGTTGCATTTAGGAAAAGATATGTGAAAAAATCATTGCATACTTTATTGTGTCAATCTAACTAAATTTAATGGATTTTCCTTTTGAAGGAAAATAGGACGTAGAGGTAAGCTTGTGACCTGTATGAAGTGTATTTCTTTCATTATTTCTATATTTACTTGATTTCATGCATTTGTCTCTTTTATTCATAAGGAAACTGAACGAATTTAGAAAAAGTAGCTAGAAGTCGTACTTTGATTTACCAAGTTTTGTGAAAAAATGTCAAAACCAAAACATTATTTGAACGAGTTGAGTTGCCGAGTGTTTCTTTAAGCTGTATTATTTTCGTGTGCGACTTCCTTATAAATGAACATGTGTTATTAAAGTTGCTTATTTAGTTGACCAGGTAAGTCAACTTAGCTGTGAAAAATCTTGTTTGCGGTTACTATTAATAGTTGCATTTTTATTTGTTGTTTTCTGAATAAACCAGTATATTCGCTGATATTTGCTTAAGTGAAACTTTTAATACTTGTCATGCGTTAGCTGATTGTAGCTTCGGTTTTCTTTGTGCAGAGATATGAAATTGCAGTCTATGGATACAACGATGCAGCTATCTACTCGGTTTCAGATGAATGTTTGTCTCTTTATTGCGACATATGATTTCATCTGTTATCGTGGCTTGCAATTTTCTACAGATAACAAAGGAAGTAATATTATGGAGCTGAATGGGATTTTAATTCTTGACTAAACGTGCGAAATAGCTTTGACGATTGATTCCTGCTGTTGATGGGAGAAAGGTTCAAGTAGAGATATATATTCCACGCAAATTACTCTCTTGTACCATTAGCCTTTGTACACGAAAACTCCGATTAGAAAGGTAAACCATTCTTGATTTTTGCAGTTGTGTAATTGTTTCTTGTTGTTGTAGTTGTTATTATGTATGTATCTCTTGTTGTGTATTTAACCGATGTTTCAGAATCAGAATATTTATCAAATGGGGGAAAAATATCAAATTATGGGCGAATTGGGACCAATGATAAATAATATCCTACGATTTGTACGAGCATCTTTTGTTTGTATTTTATTTTTCATGTTTTATACTTGGTGAAATTCATTTGGTTGGATTTTAGTACACACGTACAGATTCATAGATATTTTACACACATCCACATGTATGTGTTTTTTTCTGTGTAAAATTCTGATGCCTAAAGACCAACTACACATGAATGTTGTAACTGAATACTATTACTTGAATACTCGTATCATTTTCTTGTTATATGTTTGCATTTGCTCAAGCGTGGTATCTCTGAGTTGTATTTTACCTACTTTTTTCGTAGAAGAGTTCTCTCATCTTTTGCAGCTTGTTACTTGTAAAATTTGACTTGAATATGTTCGATATTGTGTCGTTGTTTCATGTAGCCGTGAAATAGGAAGAACAATTTTTATTTTTTTTCAGTTTGCTAGTGATAGTTTTCAGGTTAGTGTAGTTCCTTCCATAAGAGAAATGAATGCCTCTACAGAAGAAAAGGTGTGATTTTATCTCACATCGGTTACCAGTTTAATGAATCTTCCACTTATTTGATGGGATGGGCGGCTGCCTAAGAGATTATTTATGGTTATAACTTATCAACGGCTATAACTCTTTTGGTATGAATAGTTTATCGGTTTGTGCATGGATGTTCTTATTTGAACATCTTGTTTGGGCTACCGGATTTATGCTCTTAATATCCTGGCGTGGATATTGGCAGGAATTAATTGAAACTTTAGCATGGGCTCATGAACGCACGGCCTTTAGCCAATTTGATTCGATGGAGCCTTTCCATTGTGCAAGCAAGATTGGTTGGATTAGCCCATTTTTCTGTAGGTTATATATATATATATATATATATATATATATATATATATATATATATATATATATATATATATATATATATATATACACACATATATATTCACTTATGCAGCTTTCTTGATTGCCTCTACATCTCGGAAATTCGGCGGACTTGCCTGGGATCGAAAAGAGCGCTAGAACTAACTGAATGACAGGGAAGAAAGCAGATAGCAGGTACTTTTCTTTACTCAAGGCTTCGACTTAGGGCTTTTGATTGGGTTTATATATTTCCGAGAGGAAAGATGTTGAAAGGAAGAAGAATTGAATACATGGCATTTTGGCTTTAGTTGATTCGATTGCTTGGAAGAAGCATTAATTAACTTAAGCTTAAGGTCTATAGATAGGATTCCCTTACTTTCAGATAGAATTTCTATTTTATTAATAATTTTGCTTTGCATCAGATGCCGAAGCCCTTTCTCATTTCAGCCATTGGTGATTGCCCATCTAAATCAATAAGAATGAGGCATGACTTCTTTTCCAGTAGCTATGCCTGAACTGAACCTCGTACAAAACTTTCTTTTCGGTCAAAGTCGATAAGGATCAAAGTCCATTAGCTAGGGTGGGGTTGTTTTCTGTTCTCAACTCGGGAAGGAAATAAGCACTTATTCGCTATTAGGTTTAGCTTTCGAGAAAGGCAAGGCAAGGTTTAGCTCATACCTTTCTCGGCCTTTTGGCTAAGATCAAGTGTAGCATCTGTTCTTATCAGTTTAATATCTGATACGTGGACCATTGGCTCACACGATTATTAAATTCGTTTTTTCATGGGGAAAAGCCCGTTTAGGTAGCTTGCTATCTAGGTTTTCATGCATTTGCCACGTGTTGCACTATTGCATGGGCTTGCCGCACTCCACCAATTCTAGTCATAAATTTCGCGCTTTATATTTTAAATTTAATCTAGGTTGATTCTATTAAAATGAATGCTGTCTATTAGGATTTCTTAATTTGAATGATTTGTTTTTTTTGGTAAGTATGTTATGGTGAAAGTATCACTATATTAGATCTGTTACAAAGTTACATTTATATCTCCGTTGCCATGGGAATGAAACGATAGTAAGGTTGTGAAAGTTTGATAATTAATGGTGAAAATAGCGGACGAATTAAAGACCCGTAAGACATAATTTCATTTGAAATAAGGACTAATTTCCGTGTTTTAGTGTTTATTTGCCTACATTTTCGTTTGAACTAAACTCACTCGCTTCATAAATGGTCAATCCAATTCATGAATAATCATCCCTTCTTCAGGAATTGTCGACCAATATAGACGACTGATATATGTCGCGGTATAAAGAGTAAGAGGGTGGGGAGATTAAAAGAGGGCAAACTGAGAAAATCTAGTATGAAGTGGTTTATCTTAATTCTTAAAGAAAGTCCATATTTATGAATTTTAATTGGGAATATGAAGTGATTTTAGTGTTTATAGAACAAAACAAAGTTCAAGCAAGAGATGACCTATCCTTTTAATATCAGCACATAACCCTCTCGTGGTTGATGGGGTATCTTTCGTTAGTTTTTCCGTCAAACTTTACCGCCAATGTCAAACGTCAAAGTATTTTTTTTTTTTTGCAGATGACCCCCTTGTACTTTCATTTTCCCTTTCATTTTTGCAGATAACCCCCTTGAAATTTAACACATGTGGTTAAGTTTGACAGAAAACTAATCGGGACCTACCTCATAAACCACAAGGGAGTATGTGCTGATATTACGAAACCCATGTCTTCTGCATGAACGCGTTGCACCTGAGTTTTCCTTTGTGGCTGTTGGAGCTAGCTCATAAAAAGACAGACAACTGCAGTTCTCAACCTTTTCATTGTATTCAGAAAACCCTCGATTTTGAATGCGATAATATTCGATTTTTCCTTTCATTTCCCATCGGTTTATCCTTATATTAAGAATTATTATTGGATTCATAACACTATATACACATATTTAAAACAAAAATTGTTTTTATAAGAAAATATTTCAATTTTATGACTCAACTCATGCAATAAACACATCAAACTTGAATTACAACAATTTGTTAAGAAATGAATTATATAGTCCAACCATAAATCGTGTTTGGGCCTTAGAGCAACTCCAACGGGGTTATTAAATGGGTTATCAAACACATTAACCTCCATTTGACTCCCCAAATTTAAAAACTCTCTCCTCCAATGGGGTTACTAAAATAGAGTTCTATTTTGATAACTCATCCATCGGGAAGTAAATACATCCCAAATAAATAATTATCAAATATTCTCCTAAAAAACAGGAGCACGTGAGAAAAGAAAAACCTCAACAAAATTGAGTTTTTTTTTTTTATTTACGTAAAAATCTCAACATAATAAAATTAAATTATCTACCCTATTCAACAAATTTCCTCTATGAAAAAAAAATCTCAAAAAAATCTCAATACAATTTTTTTTTCTCTATAGCTTCAATAAAGTTCCAAGGAAAAAAAGAATCTCATATATATATATAAATTTTTTTTTTTATTTTCAAAAGGTAAAAACGTGATTAATATTGATTTTGAAGATAGTTTACCAGAAAAATCGGTTTTGTATGATTATTTAAAATGGATTAAAAAATAAATAATATATAAATAATCATAAATTGTTTGATAATTGTTTTTGATACCTGTGGTTGGAGTTCACTAGTTGTATAGAAATATCAAAGTATAATCCTGGTTATCAAATGAGTATTAGATAACCCCATTTGATAACAATGGGCTGGAGTTGCTCTTAAAGCCGCTAATAGAAGTTTCCGACGTTGGGTTCAAATTACTAATTTATTACGGGAAAATTATAGTTTTCATCGTCAAGTTTGCACCGATTTCACATTTGGTTCCTAATGTTTCAAATATTCAACATTTTAAGTCCTTTCGGTGAATTTTTCGTTAGTACTAACAGAATCAAGTGTGTTCTTATCACTGTATTAACTGAAAAATTAACGGTAAATTGACGACAATAATCAAAAGTGTTAAATTTTTGAAATATGAAAGATCAAATGCGTTTTTTATAATCATTAGGACCAAATGTGTAAGCCGTGCAAATTTGAGGGATGGAAACAATAATTTTCCCAATTTACTACGCCTCCGCAAAAAGGCAAAAGGTACAAGTATACATTAGCAAACTTCTCGTCGTTTTTGTTCTTCAAAATCTCCCAAAAACCTAGGTAAGCAAAAAACACGATTCTGATTTTACTGAACGAATTAACAAGTACTGTGATTTTATGCACAGTTTCTGGTTTGATTCTTCGCTAATATTTCTGATTTTTTTTTTTTAAATCCGAATTTTGTAATACTTTAATGGGCGGGCGTTTGTCTCTCATTCAGACATGATGCGATTGCTACGTAACAAGATTTGACTGCGACAGTTTAACTGAAAAACAAACAAACATCACTTTAGTTTTCAAATTCTTCTTAAAGTGCGATAAATAAAGTGATATCGCCAATGTTTGGATACGTTTTGGGGAGTTATTTTCATTTTATTATGGGGAAACATGTTTTGTAGAAGAAGAAATTGGAAAACAAAGTCATGTTTGTTTGTTTCTTAGTGAATATAATTTTTACTGTAGCCGTCAAATCTTTTTACTGTAGCAGTCGATTTCTCTGCTGGAGAGAGAAACTTTTGAAGTTGTTTTGAGAATTTTTTTTTGGAAACCCTAACAAACACGAATTCGTTTCGGAAAAAAAAATTAAAATGAGATGAAAACGTAACCAAACATTGCGAAGGAGTTCCATTAGGTTTTTGATGGTGGATTTCAGAGAAAAAAATAGATGATCCTTTAACTTTCTGCGAATATGAGTATCTTTTAAAAATTTAGGTTAAAAAAATGTTTCAATTTTTCGTTTCTTGTTTTTCCGTGAGCAGATTTATCGAATAACTGATCGCTGCGATGAATTCGGCAGTGGACAGCTTTAATCAATGTCTTGATGAAATATATCTTAAATTAAACCAGGTACAACTTATGGGAAAGCTTATACACTAATTTAATTATCTTTTTCTTTTTTCCTTATTTTATTTTATTTTCTTGTATGTTAATTTATTTTCGGTAGCAGATATGTTGTCCGTTTTTTACGCGTATCATGGATTGTTGTAGCCTAGTACTCTCTATGTAACATGTCCCAATCTCAATGTACCTTTTTTTTGTAATGGTATTGAATCTTAAACGAGAGGTGAAGAGTTTGAAAGATTTCGGTATTTTTACTAGTTTCCGGTTAATCGTGTGATGCTTACACCATCCTTTTAAGTGAAAGGTTCACTTGGGGGTAAAATAGTAAATATGAATTTGTTTTAGTGGATATCTTCTTGCCAAGGGAGATATCAATGAGTTGTGTTGTGTAATCCATATGAATTTTTATTACGATAAGCCGTATTTAATTATGTTCTAGACTTTAACTCGATACGCAAAAAAAAGAAAAGGGAATAAATTATTTGTTGGTACATCGTTTCTTGACAGCAAGAAGCAGCTCGTGTTACGAGGATGCAAGAAATTATGCCTCCATTAGGAAATATATTGCGTCAGGTAAATATAATCACTTATGCAATGGATTCGTATTAAACAATACTATGTAGTTAATTTTTTTCTCGATTTTTTTCACTCTGTCAGATAACTCAACACGAGTGGGCCGAACCGTTTATGAAGCCTGTTGACGTGATAGGTCTTGGCTTGCACGACTACTATCAAGTAAAGCCTCGATTTAGTTATATATATATGTATTTCCTTCCGCCAAGGACTTTTCGGTCTTTTTACATCCTCCCATTTTTTGATAGTGTCTATTCTACGTGCTATTGTTAGGTTATTGAAAAACCGATGGATTTCAGTACAATGAAAACCAAAATGGAGGCCAGAGATGGAACTGGTTATAAAAACATTCTAGAATTTTGCGCAGATGTGAGGCTGATATTTAATAACACAATTAAATATAACGACGAGAGGGATGATGTACATATAATGGCCAATTTCTTGTTGAATAAGTTCGAGGAGAAATGGTCGCAAATTTCGCCAAAAGTTGATGAAGAGGTAATTTTGGATTTTTTTTTGGATTAAATTTTGCTGATTTTATTTCGGAACGAGTTCGTGACTAATAGATTTGTGTATTTATTAAAGGAAAAAAGGCGTAGAGACGAAGAATTCGAGATGCAATATCATATTATACAGCTTGCTCAGGAGGCTGCTCATGTCAAAATGGCTCGAGATTTAACTTTTTAGGTAATTTCATAAAAAAAAAACTCTTTTATCTACGTTGAATATATATATGTTTTTTTTGGGTCAAACGCAGGAGATAATATCATTATCACTGCCGAAAGTTTGATATAATAAAGTTTAGTACCAATGCTACCGAAATCTTCGGGATGCCAAAGTTGGGTTTACCAAAAATTCGATACGGTACGATAATAGTTAGTACCAACTTATGTTGGTCTACGAAATTGGATAAAAATCGGATATTACTTTTTCAATGGAAGCAATTTTATGCATACATGTATTTTAAATGTCAAAACTACTATTTAAAAGAGTTGGTAGGGTAGCTAGGACAATTGGTTGGTAGGGTATTTCGGTAAATAAATCCACCCCTAATTGTGAACATTGTTTATTTTAGGGCTTATTGCCACCCCCGAGGTATGGCCAAATTACGAAAAAACACCTATTGTTTGGGTAATTACAACCACCCCCTTTGCATAAAATTTATGTAAATCGGTTATTTTCCGAACCAAATTGTATATTCTGTTCGGTAAACGGCATGAAATGTTGGCGTACCGAAATTTCGGAAATTTGTCTCTAGAGTGGTATTTTCGTAAGATAATACATAGTTGATGGGATGGCTGTAATAATCCAAAGGGGAAAGTACAGTTTGCACCCCTGAACTATGGGGCTTGTCACAAACACCCCCTTAAACTACGAAACGTACCAAAATGGCCCCTCCGTTTCCAATCCGTTTGTGTACAATGACGTGTCAAGTTGACTTTTTTCATTTTCAATTAGTTTTGTGCCCGCACCATTTTATTGACGTTTTTACCCCCAGTTATATATATATATATAAAAGTACAGCTAATTAAAAATAAATACATTAATTAACTAATATCATCAACAAAACACACTACAGTAAACCAGAGTACCAAAGGGAATTGCAAACACGTTGCAGAGAAATAAAGGAAATTGCAAAAAATGGATTTTGGGCATTTCGAATTCGTTCAAGCGCAACAATCAATTGCTTTCAAATCTGCCAAATCGATTGCTTTCACGAACATGATAACTACCATCCCAGTAGTAATTCCCAATTGCTGAGAGAAATTGTGGGCCCCAAATTGCTTAATTTCGTCTTCGTTTGTCCACAGGCGCCGGAAGAGCTTGTAGGATTCGTTGGGTAGGACCTGGTTTTTGGCAACGATGGGTTCCTATTGACGGTTTTCTGATTGTGGGGAAGGCGACGGTGACATGGACGGGGAGAAGAGAACGGAGTTGGGCTATTAATGGTCGAAACTTTCTTCATCTTCGTTGAAGATATTATTAGCAGCGGCGGCGGAGGATTGTTGGGATCACCGACGGATGCCGATTAAGAATTTCCTGATTTGAGGGCTCACGACGAGACAGAGTTGTGCTAATTGGTTGGTTTCGAGTTGATATTGAGATGTGGTTCAACGCTTCAAATGGGTGGAAATAGGGAGAGGCACCGCCGGCGAGACAAGAAAGAATGAAAAAATCGAACAAGGGAGAGGCACCGCCGGGAGAGACGCTGCCGGTGAGATGCTTGTGGTGGCAGTGGGTTTCTTCTGCTCAATATTTGATTTGGAAGAAGGTGTGCTTACTAGGGTTGTACTCAAAGGTACAACCCGATAATGCAAACATATTTTAAGGACAAAACGGTAAATGCACACATATACTAACGGTGTTAAGTTTTTGACAGTTGACTGAAAATAGCAGGGGTCATTTCGTTACGTTTCGTAGTTCAAGGGGGTGTTTGTGACAACCCCTATAGTTCAGGGGTCCAAACTGTACTTTCCCCTAATCCAAACAAGAGGTCGGTTTTCGTAGTTTGACCATAACTCAGGAAGGTGGCCGTAATTTGCCCTTATTTTTAATAATTGCATGTGTGGTTTTATCCCACATCGGTTAAACATACAAAAGTTGGGTGCGGTACAAAAAAGAATGCCCGATCTAGCATTTCATTGAATTTCAAGCGGGTCTTTTTATAGTATATGATCCGAAGAATATCTCATAGTAACCTGGACTAATAGAGTTTTACGTGTCTGAAATCTATACAAGAATGCAAAGCAACCAGGGCATCCTTAACAAATACTAGTTTTTATCGAGCTTTTAGCACCAACCACTCATGTGTAATATTTAATCACCAAAACAAATCGTCATGTTAAAAAAATTAGCAATAACCCCCATACGTTGTGTTTTGCAAGGCACGCCAGAGTGCCCCTTACATCAAATTTATCTGTTGACTTACGTGAAATTATAAAACTATCCTTATAAATTTTAAACAATGTTTCAATTTTAAATTTAAAAAAGAAAAGGTGATGAAAAATCACCAAAACATGGGTGCGTAAAAGCTCTAAACCGAACTGAATTTTGTTGGAGAAAATGTTGGAGTGGTTGGGCAGAAGGGGGATATGGTTGAACCAGAGGTTGAGGGTATGGAGGGAGGTGAGGCCGGAAAGGTTGTTCTCCAGAAGGAGAGCGTCGGCTCTACTATGTTCAGTGTATTTCTGAAAAATTGCAAATCAGTCCATGTTTTAAGGAAGAAGAAGGTCTTTCTGAAAATGAGAGAGAGTGAATTGGAAGTGCTGAAAATTCCGTTTTGGGGCTTATTTATGAATTTTCTAATTTAAAGGGTATTCCAGTCTTTTGAAGTGAAAAAATACACCCCTTTGTCGCATTTGTGGCGATTGTATCGCACGACCAACTCACACGGACCTTTTTAGCTTTGACTAATTTTTATAGGGGGGTCTCGAATCCAATGTTCGAATTCATGACCAAATGGTCATAGGTGCAAGGTGCTTACCAACTTGCTACCTTGTCTTAATAGCGCAATTCGAAAGGAAGCTTAATGAAATGACAAGACTAATACTAACACAATAGGTGATAGAAATAAACAAATACAAAGCCACCAAGCTGATGAAATTCTAGAAGAAAGTTGACTAGTCAACATGGGAATGCCTAATGCTTCTATTAGGGCATGCATTCAACAATCTATAGTAGTTTCATTATTAAATAATTTAGTACACAAACAACTTCACATGAATAAATAATGATTTATAAGGGTCAACAAATATGTGCTAGCACATGTCAATATTCAATAATTCATGATATTTGGTAACACTATAAATACCACCCTTTGTGCTTCTAATATCTCACATGCACCATCAATTAATCTTTCTCTGATTTCAATTTTCCTAGTTTATTTACTTTGTAATTATTTCGAATATTTGATAATATGGGTGCCATCACTTACGATATGGAGATTCCTTCTTCGATCCCGGCTTCGAAGATGTTTAAGGCCATCGTTCTTGATGCTGACACGCTCATTCCGAAGATAATGCCACATGCTATCAAAAATGTCGAAATATTGGAGGGAGATGGTACTTGTGCAGGTACGGTCAAGATCATCCATTTCGGAGAAGGCAGCAAATTTAAGAGCGTCAAGCACCGTGTTGATGCTCTCGATGCGGAGAATATGACACACAGCTACAGCATTATTGAAGGAGATGCTTTAATGGGAGTTGTCGAATCGATCACTTATCATATTAAGATTGTTCCGACCGAAGACGGAGGCTGCATCTGCAAGAATCGAAGCATTTACAATGTGAAGGGAGATGGTCATGAAATTACCGAAGATAAAATAAAGGAAGGCAAAGAGAAAGCCATGGCTATGTTCAAAGCTATAGAGGCTCACCTCCACTCCAATCCCGATTACTAAAATACCGACTACTTGTCCTTGTTTTAATCAATTTTATTACATTGTGTGACATTGTGTGATTTCTTGTCTTTTTTTTTCTTCAGTTTTCATCACACTTTATGCGTATCAATAAGTTGGATTTTGCTTAAATTTCTCTCGTTCAAGGGCGTTTTATTATTTTATAAGTTTGGTATACTTACAAGTATCATTATTTTGATTGATTGCAAATTTTACCGAGTCAGACTTCTATTTTTCGAAGGTTTGTACTTCCGCATTGACCCTTAACAGTTAAAGCGAAACTAACCTATCAGCACTATTGAAGGAAAGCGAGAAAAAAACGACACACAAAAATCTCATGAGAACGAGCGTTATAAAATTGGGAGTGGCAACAAACGAAAAGCTCAAGATCAAGTGTAGTGTCTGTTCTTATCAGTTTAATATATGATATGCGAGTCATTGGCTCACACGATATTAAATTCATTTCTTTTGGGAGAAGGCCTGTTATGGCTGCTTGCTGGCTGGATCCTCAAGCGTCGCCCATGCGTTGCACTATTGCACGGGCCTGGCGCACCCCACTAATACTAGTTGTAAAATTTAAAAAAGATATATAATATCTTTTCCGTATTTATCTTAAGTAGCAATGGGAATTCTAATCTACAGAATTTTAATGGCGTATAATAATCAGCGCATCTTCTCTCTCTTTCAATATGCGTTTTTTAGGGGGAAGGCCCACTCAGGTAGCTTTCACGCGTCGCCCATGCGTTACACTATTGCGCGGGCCTGGCGCACCCCACCAATACTAGTCGTAAAATTTTTCTTTGTTTTCTTACTATAAATAGAAGGTCTTTTTTTTCTTTTTTAGCTCTTGACTTCTTCTTCTGTTTTTCTTTGACTTTTCTTCGGTTTTCTTCTGTTTTAGTTCTTCACGGGAAGCTTCGACGAGGGTTTCGATTCGGATTTTTCATAAGCTTTTTCTTTACGTTTAGTTTATGATTTATCGTGTTCTTTATTTTGATGTTATGTTTGTAATGAACTAAGCATTTTCTTTTAGGGAAATGAAACATCGTATATACTGATTTTGATTTCCAGATATGTGATCTATTTTGTCGTTCTTTGATTTTGTTTATGTTTTCATGTATTAAATGCTTTCAATTATTTGGCCAACTAATTGAATTGATTGTAAATGAGAATGAACTCGAGAGAAGATTTCTCGTTTGATTTTAGAAAAACATATCTCGGGTTGTGGAAATGGAGACGTGATGCACCTTGGGTAGCCCTTAAGGACTCGACCTAAATGCTCTCTTAATATAGGTTTTGAACGGAGACGTCAGACCTGTGGGTAGTCTCTAATTACATTGGAGACGGGGGTTCGGGTATTTTAGTGTCTGAGTTAGCGAATATAGAATTGACATTAGATTCGGATTTGTAGATCTTTATCGATAGTACACTGGTGGATTTTATCCTACGAGCCATCAGACGTCGGAATTTCTCGCTTGTTCTGGCGGACCGTTGTTTTTTATTTATTGTTTCTTTTTAGTTTCATTTCTTCCATCCAGTTCTGATCGTTTAGATAAAATTTAGGATAGTTTAATTACGGTACTTGGTAAATTTAGGAACTTAATTCCCTATAGATCGATATCTAAAATTCACTATTATACAAAACGCGATATTCTACACTAGGGGTGTGAACGAGTCGAGCTCGAGCCGAGCTCGCCTCTTTTGGCTGGCTCGAGCTCGAGCTCGAACCCAATTTTTTTTTTTTTTTTTTAAATATTTTTTAATTATTATTTTATTATTAAAAATTATTTAAAAAAAATACAAAATAAAAACTAAATTGTGATTATATATTTTTTAATATTGTATTTATTTCTATAATATTTTATATTATTATACATTATTTAAATAAAAATAACATATAAAAAATAAAAAAAATAAAAAAAATAAAAAAAATAATAATAAATCCGGCTCGCGAGCCGATAAACAACTAAAATCCGGCTCGAGCTCGGCTCGTCAGAAAGCTCGAGGTCGAAAACCTCGAGTCTGAGTTCGAGCTTTTTACGAGCCGGCTCGTCGAGCTCATGAGCCGGCTCGGCTCGTTTGCCACCCCTATTGTACACTTGCGATTTTTCATACGTAGGTTTTACGCGTATCACTTGGTACTACAGAGATCTCTGGCGGTGCTAGAGGTTGATGTTGTTCGATTCACTTTGTAGAGTTATCAACCCCAAAAAATATCAGTCTTCAATGGATTATCGAAACCCAACATTTCAATCAGGAGTTATCTCGAGAGAATCGTAGATGTATGAACATGTTTGTTTTGCTTGAACATTATGTTGTTGTTTATCTGAGCAAGAAAGCGGCTTTGTAATTATACAGAGTAGTTTTCATGTTTACATAGTTGTTATACCGAGTGGTTTTCATGTTTACATAATTGTTATACAAAGTGGTTTTCATTTTATATAGCTGTTTATACAAAGTGGTTTTAATGTTTACATAATTGTCATACAGAGATTTTCATGTTTGTATAGTTGTTTATACATAATGGTTTTAATGTTTACATAGTTGTTATACAAAGTGGTCTTCATGTTTACATAGTTGTTATACAAAATGGTTTTTATGTTTATATAGTTATTTATACTGAGTGGTTTTCATGTTTACATAGTTGTTATACATAGTGGTTTTTATGTTTACATAGTCGTTATACAAAGTGTTTTCATGTTTATATAGTTGTTTATGGTTTATGTTTATATAGAGTTATTTTCATGTATATTCGATTTTCTCCTTCCTGAAATAATTTGGGAATGCGAGAAGCACATGCAGAATAAATGAAGAACAATCGTGTAAAATTACTTGCAAATTTCAACTAATCAGTTTAAATCAACAAACACAGGACACTAATTACTTATTTTCCGATGTTGATTTTTGAACCATCTTGTTATGCTAACGAATTACGAATAACTGTCGGTTCGAAAAGAAGCTTGGTCAGCTTATGAGGCTAATAACTTAATATGATGTTCATAAATAAACAAATAGAAAGCCGCCAAGTGAATTTCTAGATGCAGCTGCATATATTCTAGCTTAGTCAGTCAACCTGGGAATGCTTACTGTTTCTAATAATTCATTATTAAATTTTGTATATAAGTTCACATGATTAAATGATTTTGAGTCAACAAATCAGTGCTAAGCAATTCAATTTTTATGATATTTGAATATTTGGTAACACTATAAATACCATGAACTACAAAGTCACTTGATCATCAATTAATCTTTCTCATTTTAATTTTCCTTAAATCATTCGAATATTCGATAATATGGGTGCAGTCACTTACGATATGGAGATTCCTTCTTCGATCCCAGCTTCGAAGATGTTTAAGGCCATCGTTCTTGATGCTGACACGCTCATTCCGAAGATAATGCCACATGCTATCAAAAATGTGGAAATATTGGAGGGAGATGGTACTTGTGCAGGTACGGTCAAGATCATCCATTTTGGAGAAGGCAGCAAATTTAAGAGCGTCAAGCACCGTGTCGATGCTCTCGACACTGAGAATATGACGCACAGCTACAGCATTATTGAAGGAGATGCTTTAATGGGAGTTGTCGAATCGGTCACTTATCATATTAAGATTGTTCCGACCGAAGACGGAGGCTGCATCTGCAAGAACCGAAGCATTTACAATGTGAAGGGAGATGGTCATGAGATTACCGAAGACAAAATAAAGGAAGGCAAAGAGAAAGCAATGGCTATGTTCAAGGCTATCGAGGCCCACCTCCATTCCAACCCCGATTACTAAACTTTTACGGGATTAAACGCCCTCTTTCAATAATCAATAATATTGCTCGTGCGAGTTTTTTTCCGTTATTTTTTTACTTCTGAACCTATGCATTTGTAAGTTGTAGACTCAATAAGCTGTGCTTTTGTCATGGTATTTGTTTTCAGCAACGATTTTTTTTTTTAATTTGAATAAAATACCTCGGAATGCATCATCGACAATATCAATATACCCCTTCAATATATTCATCGGAGAAAGAAACACTCAATTTCGTATTCCGAGATTCCATCTCCAGATAAATCAAGTCCAACGCACACGAGATACTTTTAAACTCGGGGTGCGTTTTATCCCCAGCTAAAAACACTTTCCCACCACCAACATTCGACTCAATCCAACTACAGCCAGGCTGTTTCTTCACGCCCTTCTCTTTCATACGAACCCACATACTATACGCGTTCTCTCTCCTCCCATGCGCCAAATATATTTCCGCAAGAATCAAATACACCCCCGAATTAAACGGCTCCAGCTCCAAAATCTTCTCTCCGGCAATTTCAGCACCCGGTAAATTCTTGTGCACTCTACATGCTCCAAGCAGGGCTCCCCAAACACTAGCTTCGATTTCCACTCCATCGACACTCATTCGATTCATAACACTCATCGCTTCGTCAATAAGTCCGAATTTTCCCAATAAATCAACCATGCACGTATAATGCTCGTTTGTCAACCGAATGGAATATTCCTTCCGCATAACATCGAAGAAATGTTTTCCATGTGCCACGAGTCCTCCGTGGCTACACGCAGAAAGGACTCCAACGAAAGTTATTTGATTAGGCTTCACACTCGATAATCTCATCTTTTCAAACATCTCTATAGCTTTTTCACCGTGCCCATGGTGGGCCAATCCGCATATTATCGAGTTCCAAGAAATGATGTCATGGCGGGCCATGATATTGAACTCGAGCAACGCAGAGTCCATATTACCACACCGAAAATACATGGTAATCAACGCATTGCCGAATGCAGTAAAGCCATCGATTCCCACCTTGATAGCTTCTGCGTGGATTTGCTTTCCAAGGTTTAGTGACGGCAGATTCGAACATATAGTGAGAAAGCTCGTAAATGTAGCTTCATCAAGGGCAAGACCGTCTTTTTTCATTTCGATAGCCAACTTTACACCATCCTCTGCGAGGTCATTTTCCCCGAGTCCGAATATGGCAGCGTTCCACACGGTTGTATCACGAGTCGCCATTAGTTCAAAAACTTGCATCGCGTTTTTGACGTCTTCCATATTGAAGTACCCAATCATGATATTCGTCCACGACACAACACAACCAAACGGGCTTTTCTCTAAAATTGCATGAGCTTCTCTAACCAAACCGTTCTTGACAAACCCCAAAATAATCGAATTCCACGACTTTTGGAGTTTGCAAGGTGCCTCGTTGAAAAGCCTCAAGGCATCGATAATCCTTTCGGTACTCACAAACACATCTATCATTAAACTCCACGAGTTTGAATCCTTTTCGGGCATCTTGTGAAACAAGCCTTCTGCAATTTCAACGAAGTTATTTTGAATATAACCGCCAATAATCGTGTTCCAAGCTTGAATATCCTTCACCGGCATATCATCAAATATTTCCCTGGATTCAACAATCCTCCCGGCATCGAGAAACGCCTTCATCATAATAGTCCAGGTGGCAACATCCCGTGTAACCATTTCTCGGAACAACTCCTCAGCCTTATCGAACTCGCGAACCTTCACTAAACCCGCAATAACCAAATTCCAAGAAACTACGTCTTTCAACGGCATCGTGTCAAACACTCTCACTGCATCACCCACCAAATCATTATCAACATACCCTGAAATTAACGAATTCCACGTCACTACATCTCTGCACTCCATTTTCTCAAATACATCTTCGGCCCCTTCAACATCTCCGTGCTGCATTAACCCGGATATCATCGTATTATACGAGAACGCGTCACGTGACGGCATTTGATTATACAGACGTACGGCCTTCTCATAGAACCCGTTCTGAAAATATCCTCTAATCATGGCGTTGTACGTGACTGTGCTTCTGTGGGGCATTTCGCCGAACAGGTTCTGTGCTTCATCAACAAGGCCATTTTTCATCAGATTTGAGAGCTTCGAGTTGAATGGTTTCAAGTCGAGTAGCGTTGCGAAAGTATGATGCTTGAAATTGAGTTTTGGAGAGAGAAGTTGGGTGAGTTGTAGACTTCGTCTGAGAAAAAACGACATGCTCCATCACTAGTTCTGGCGGTGGCAGCAAATGATTTCTTTGAGTGAATTGACCGTACAAATTAGTTTAAGGTGTTAAATACCGTTTACACCCCCTAAGTATACCATCTGTAACACGTACCCCTTAAAATATCATTTGTAACAATTACATCCTAAAACTAAAAGAATAATTATAATATACAAGTAAAAATATATGTTGAAAATGCAATATTTGAAATTTTAAAAATATTATATTGCGATGGGTACATATTTAATAAACAACATCTAATTATCGTTGGACCAATTAATCGAATATATTCATTTCGATATATTTTAAGAAATCAATACTAACTAATAGTAATCTTACGTATTTAAATTTATTTTAGTTCGTTAATTTCTTAAAATATATTTTCATTCATTATTTATACAATATATATTACTTTTTAATTATTTTCTAATAATTTAATTTTAGTTACTTTTTAATTATATGATCCAATAATTATTGGGGAAATTTGATAGACACCCTTTATTTGAGACTTACATAGGTATAGATCCTAGTTGGTAGATGAATATAGGCATAAGTCATTTGACTCACAAAATAATATAAATAAAATAAAATAATTAGTGTATAGGCATAATCACCCTCAATTAATAAGAAAACAAATTTCATATATCTTGTCTCTCAAATCTCACGTTTCTCTCACCCTATATTTAACATTTCATCTTTTTCTCTCCCTCTGTGTCCCACGCCTTTCTCCCTCTCTCGAGCTTCTCTGTTTTTTTTTTTTCTTTTTCTTTACTTTTTTGATAAAGAAATATTATTGAGAAGGAAAAAAATAGGGATCTTTTTAGATTATGAGATGATTTTTTGGTGGAAGAATTAAAGACGACAAAAAAAAAATTCAGAAATCCAAAATCATAGCCAAAAGTCACATTGTGTCTCCCGTATGTAGAACCTTCCCATCGTTTTTGTTGTTAGCAATTTCCGTTTGCAGGTTGGTTTAACTTCGTTTGCTGTTTGAAGAATTGCCTTTGATGTTGAGATTAGATTCCTCTAGTTTACAATTTGCAAGGTATGTCTTAAGTTACATTTTATAAACATTTTGCTTAATGTTTTTGTTGTTAGCAAATTGTTCCATACACAATTTTTTGGTATGTTTTTAATGATGCTGATTTTTTTTTCAGTTTGTTGTTTCTCAATAATGCAAGTTTTGCTTTATTTTTTCTTCAGTTTGCTATTTGCATTCGGCGAAGTCATAGGTAATTTTTTGTTTGTAATTCAGTAATACAAATTATGGATTTTTTTTTTCAATTTGCTGTTTGCGTTTGGCGAAATCATAAGTATTTTGTTGTTTGCAATTCAATAATATAAAATCTAATTTTCAGTTTGCTATTTGCAGTTCGCGGAGTCATAGGCGTCGCAGTTCCCGGATCATAGACAGTGGTTGCGGTGGCGTTTTTAGAGTATGAGTTTGTAAAATAAATTGCATATTTTTGTTATGAATTAATTTATTCGTTTTAGTTAATATTTGGAAGACTGATGTTTGCGAATTTGTTTTGATAGAGAGATTTTTTGGGATTTGATTTGATTTGATTTAATTAAAGGTATTTTTGCCATAATAAATATTACTAATTTATTAAAACATTAAATTTTAACTTAGATTAAATTTCAAAATATAAAATAATTGACGTTGACGGGATAAGTGTTACAAATTTACAATGATACTTTAATGGGCTAAGTGTGCATAAACTATAATTCAGGGTGCAAAGCGTATTTAATGGGAGACCCGGATCCGGCCCAATCGTGTCAAAGGGCTGTCGGGTCATGGGCTCAGCCCATTCGGGTCCATGTTCTCCTGTCCACACAATTATTACCCCACTGTAGAATACACCACCGTTGAATTGCACTTCTTTTTTAAACGGTTAATTCCACTTCGCACCCTTAACATATACATCTTGTCACTTTGCACCCTCCAAAACAATTAATAGCATTTTATACCCTCAAAACACAATAAATCATTCACAATAGACCATGAATTGAATATTTAAAACTTAGGGAGGGTAATTTCAATTTTTACTGCTATTTATTCCCAGAGTGTAAAATAATAAATTAAATTATTATTTTCTTCAATCCCCAACATAAATTCGAGCGTATATTATGCAAAAGAACAAATAAAAAAATCACAACGAATTATTCAAAAAAACTGCAATTTCTTAAAAAAAAAAAAAAGACATTTGTCACTGAATCGTTAGATTGATGGATTTACTGTTATTAGTTGAAAATATTTGGTAGAAAATTTTCTAATAAAATAATGATTTTCAAATAACTCGATAACAATCTAGCTGAAGGATTCTTTTAACTTTTTTTTTTTTTGTAAAATATTTTTTGTACATTTTTTTAAATATATACCTATGGGATTTATTTTTGCAGTTAACTTGTTTCAAAAAATATAAAAAAAAATTGACATTTGACATCCTAAAAAAATGGCACTAAAAATATAAAATTATTTTCTTTGACTTTAAAATTCATTCGCGGTGCATTATGCATGATTTATTGTGTTTCGATGGTGCAAAGTGTTATTAATTATTTTTTAGGGTGCAAAGTGCCAAAAAACTATATTTTTAGGGTGCAAAATGAAATTAAGCTCTTTTAACCATAAATAGTGAAAATTAAAACCTTATCCCACAAATTTTCACTCTCCATTCTCATTGGATATTATCTCCCCACGTCAACATTCTTGAAATCTCTCTAAGCTAACAAGCAAGAGAGAGAGAGAGAGAGAGAGAGAGAGAGAGAGAGGAGAGAGAGAAAGAAATCACAGTCCGATTCAGCCCAAAAATGGCAGCCACCGCCGCGGCCGCCGCCGTAGCCTCTTCTTTCTCCACATCCATGCAGAGTTTGAAGTACACAACCACCAAAATCTGGCCTAATAATAATAATAATAATAATAATAATGATAATAATAATAATTTCTTAAAGATTTCATGTGGGCGAATTAATCCAATTAGTAGCAGTGGTGTGTGTGTCAAGTGGAGGGTTTTGCGTATAGCGGCCGCAGTGGCTCAGGAAGAGGCGGCGGCTCTGACTGCTCCGGCGGAGGAGGAATCCGAGGCGGCGGAGGTGGGTGATTCTGAGAGCGCCGCCGCCGCCGCAAACACGAAGCTTTACTTTGGGAATTTGCCGTATCTGTGTGACAGTGCGCAGCTTGCTGGTATAGTTCAAGAATATGCTAGCCCAGAGCTAGTTGAGGTTAGTGCTGTCAAATTAGATTTCCGATAGGCCTCGTTTGGTTGGGTAGATTAGTCACGATTAACTAAATAATTGGAGTTTATTTAATGTCTGTTATTTTAATAACTTGATGGGTCGACCCGTAAATATTATGTTATCATGTCTTATCCTACCTTTTAGGTATATTTATTTTATCGGATGATCCAAGGTCAAATAATATAATTGTGTTTCATTAGATTATTTAATTTTATACCGGCTAATCTTATCTTGGCAACCAAACGAGACCCTTGATACATTAATTGTTCATTTTCCAATTAGGCATGAGTTATTTGAAATATAATTGCACTTTGTTTTTTGATGTCTGGTATCCCAATAACTTATTGGATCGACCCACAAATATTACGTTATAATGCCTTATCTTACCTTTTAGGCATGTTTTTTTTATTGGATGGTCGAAAGTCAAATAATATAATTGTGTTTTATTAGATTATTTAATTTTATACTGGTTAATCTTATCTTGGCAACCAAACGAGACATTTAATGTATTAATCGTTCATTTTCCAATTTAGGCATGCGTTATTTGAAATATTAATTCCTAGAAACAAAAGAAATAATTAATGGAAAGAGAATAAATGGGGGGATATATAATAATCTAGCTACATTGTGTATATTTTTTTCCTTCTAAGATTCGTGATTGTAAATTAGTTTTTTTAATACGTGTGTTGAAACCTTAAACGACATTTAATTTGAAACAGAGGGAGTTCAATTGTATTTGTTCATTAATAAGTAGCCAAAAAAACGCATCCTCGTATATCAATAGATGCTTAAAGTTGTTTACGGCACTTAATTTGAAACGGAGGGATTTCAGTTGTATTTGTTAAACGACACTTAATTTGAAACGGATGGAGTTTAGTTGTATTTGTTTTCATTAATAAGTAGCCAAAAAACGCGTCCTCGTATATCATTAGATACTAAAAGTTGTTTACGAGTAGAGATCATTTCATACACATTGATTATTATTATAATGGTAAATATATTAATTCTATTGGGAGTTGTGCATGATTAATCGAGGATTTCGATTATTCGGGCCAAATTGACATCTATACAAGCATATCCGAAATTTATCTGTCTGATAACCTCGTAATCATTTGAACTCGTTCGATCAAGTAAAAAGATGTTTTGTTGGACGGTTTAAATCTATCCATGTGATAAGTAATAACCACTCAAAGTTCAAAGTTCCGTACAAAGCATCTTCACTTCGAATTTAATGATTAAAGGATCGGGATTTATATTCTTATTTAGAAAGGCCTTAATCGATTCAATTATGGAAGTAACAAAAGATGTTGTTGTTCGACGGTTTGAATTCAGTTATACGTACTTATTATATACATTCATGAAAGCTAACATCCGTACATTCTGTTTCTTGATACTAAACCGAACCAAAATCCACTACACGTGTTCTTTCTTCTTTTTTTTTTTTTTTTCTAATAGTCCTCTTATATTATTCAATAATTGTAATCGCAATTTCTAGATTATCGTAATCTCTTGGATTTACTATAAGTTTGCCGGTTTTTTTTTTTTAATTTCAATTTCGATTTACTAGACCTGTTAATTCAGTTTTGTTCGCTCGATTAAGTAGAGCTTAGAACTAATTAATGTGTATTCGAAACATGTAGGTTCTTTACGACAGAAACACCGGAAAAAGCAGAGGATTCGCATTTGTGACCATGAGTACCATCGAAGAATGCAATACCGTCATCCAGAATCTCGACGGAAGGGTAATAAATAATTCACTCCTTGGACGAAAAAACAACAAAAACAACTTTTTGTTCCTTTTTTTTTTTTTAATAATATTGAAAGTCGTTGTTTGGTGCAGGAATACGGGGGTAGAACATTGAGAGTTAATTTCTCGGACAAGCCAAAACCGAAGGAGCCACTATATCCGGAAACGGAATACAAACTTTTCGTAGGAAATTTATCGTGGACCGTTACATCCGAAATGTTAACACAAGCATTTCAAGAATACGGATACGTGGCTGGAGCTAGAGTTCTTTATGATGGTGAAACTGGAAAATCTCGTGGCTATGGTTTCGTTTGCTACGATACCGAAGCCGAAATGGAAACCGCACTTAAAGCTCTCGATGGAGTGGTAATTATTATTATTGTTTTCTATCACAAAAAAAAAATAAAAAAATTTCAACCATTTTATCGTATAGTACTTAAAACCGTGTATCATATTTTTATTTTTATTTTACGTTTGTATTTCAGGAATTAGAAGGGCGTGCGCTGCGTGTTAGCCTGGCGCAGGGAAAGAAACAATGAGAAGAAGACGAGACGAAGAAGAAGAAGAAAAGAATTTTGATTTCTCTCGAGAAAAATGGAAGATTAAAAATGTGCATTTGTCTCTGCTGAGAGAAAGAAAAAAAATCATATTAACTGGAAAATAGAAAAACCATTCGATTTTCGATTTTATGTGCCTTCCATACGACAGGCACGATGATGTAATACATTGACAAACAGTCACATAAGTACGTAATGTGGATGTGCGTAAAATATGTACGCATCTATTCTATTGTATGGTAAGATATAACTATGTGACATAGAACAAACCGTTTCAATTGATATTCTTTCGTACCTATTTGTGATTTTTTTGTGCAAATACCTCTTTGTATTTAAAATTTTAACCATTATATTATGCATGGATTTTGAATAAACTAAAATTTAATAATTAATGTGTAGATTAGTAGTTATTAATTTATCGATTATTTAACATATCGGTAAATACAAATTGCACCCATGTACTATAATCAGTATTGCATATACCTGTCTATACAACAAAATGCGACAAAGGGACCCCCAAATTAACTGTCAACCCTCACCGTTAGTTTATGTTGCATTGTTACCTTTTTACCCTTACATTTATATGAAATAAATTGGCATTTTTTGACCTCATTACTCTGACCTTTTTTTTACTTTATTATGTAGCACTCCGTTAAATCGACAAATAGTTCTAGAAAAATATGAGATGTAGTGTTTGGATGTACAAAATGAAATGCATGAATTTTGAGAATTTTGAGAATTAAAACTACTGGAAGTAATTTAGATCGAGAATTTTTGGGGTGAAAATGAAATTATAAATTTTTAGAAATTTAAAAACAATTTAAAAATATTATCATGAATAAAAGAAATTCATTAATTTTGGGTGAAATTTTCAGGCTCGGAGCAATATTGCAAAATTTCATGAATTTAAAATGAAATTATAAATAATTTTTAGAATATAATTTTTTTTTTCAGAAAATTTGGGTGAAATGTTTAGGTTTAGATTGTGGAAAATAAAATTAGGGAAGAAACATGAACAAAATTGGGAGTAAATTGAGTACAAGAGACAAAGAAAAATGCACAGCTTTTGTACACAACCAAGGGGGTATTGTCGTCCAAAATTGTCCAACATCTAGTGCAATGATCAGTTAGTCAACTTTGAAAAGGGACGGATTCTCTTTAACATTGCTTGACGGCATGGGCCACATTGTCGCATTTTGTAGTACATGGGGGTGTATGTGACAATGGTGATAGTATAGGGGTGCAATTTTATCATTAACCCTTTATTTAATCGAAGAAAAGTGAAAGGGTAAATTCCGCCACCCCTGAAGTAAGGTTAATTTACGAAACCCCCTCATACTTGGATAATTACAACAACCCATCAACTATGAATCTCCTTACAAGTCCACCATCGCTGTATCAAATTTAGTGGAATCTTCTATATTATGTGAAATATTTTCCAGTTTGTACAGATTTTACCCCATTTGAGCTCCACATTTTAAAATAAGATGATCATAAAATGTGTCTCTTGACTTGTAAATATCAGATTGTGGTGTATCATAATGTATTTTGCACAAAACGAATACAAACTAGAGAACATTTCACGGAATTCAGAAAATTGTATTTAATGTAACACTATAAGAATAAACGTGTAAGGAGATTCATAATTGACAGATAATTATAATTACTAGAAAAGATATTTTTTTTTTAATAAGACATTACCTTTGGATGATCAATCTCACACAAACAACAAAATAAAAAGGGGAAAGACAAAATTAAGAAATAAAAAAATAAATATTGGATTTTGGGGGTGGCACAAAATAATAATAAAACAATGATTGACTCTTTACCCAAACAAGTGATGCAAACCCTACCTACCTACATATCAACCCCATACAAAAAGTTCTTTTTTTTTTTTTTTTTTTTAAATCTTTTTTCCTTTTTTTTTTTTTTTTTAATCTTTTTTCCGCACACCCAAAAAAAAAAAAACACACACACACACACAACTACAAAAGGCAGCTCAAAAAACACTAGTATTTATGTCGTACGCCGATATCTCTCTGTATATATATATATATATATATATATATATATATATATATATATATCTATACAGACAAATACACAACCAAACCCTCGCACT